CAAAGCACAGTGGGGGTATCGGGTGGCCCACTCTGCCTTCCCCCTGGTGAAAGCAAAAGCTTGGCTGACACCAACCCAACCAGCTAGACCAGAGGAGGGCACACACACACACACACACACACACACACACACACACACACACACACACACACATTCATTCAGGCCTCAAAAGTCACATACGTTCGTCCAACACAACAGCTTCAGTCTCAGAACCATTGCTGAAACTCTCACTGAGAAGCAGCTTCAGCCTGGACGAGAGAAAGCCACCAGAGCGGAAGGTGAACGCACATACATGCCAAAACAATCAAACCTTGCTAGGAGTAAAGACAAAGGAGTCCCGTTTCTCAGACGTGAGCCACGGCCACATCGTCCACAACGGGCTTCTCCTCTCAGAGAATCTATCGTCGCCTGTGGAGTGGAATCTGTACCAAAAACAACTCAAAGCACGCAATAAATCTGTCTGGAGGCTGAGTTATTCTGTAATATCAACATTAAACACCATTAATACCAAAACAATTACTCTGAGGACACTTAATCAAATGTGGTGTTGGAGCTATTTTGCAAGACAAAATCATAAATTTCCTTTCTAATGCTTCTACAAACCATGCCTGCGGGTTCTCTGAAAAGGCCACTAGTGAGAGTGTGTGTGTTTGTCCAGGATGAGGGGGGCAATGTCAGGGGACTAATCAATCCAACTAGGGGGGATACAAGCGGCAGGGAAGGGCACAGAGACCGGCAGCAACCTGAACCACAGAGCAGGGCAGCCAGCAGAGCGAACGCAAGGCCAAACTCCCCACCTCCTCTTTTCAACACACTTTCTCCTCGCCTCTCGGCTTGTACTGTACGCTGGTCGTACAGCTCATCTTTTTTTTCTTTTAGCTTCTTTTGTTCTCCCTCTAGTGACCACCACTGCTCAAATGATTAGCTGATTACCCCATTAGACAGCTAAAATAAAAAAAATAAAAAACTTTATAAACATTAACTTCAATAAACATGTCACTGTTTTGCAGAGGGACACATCATCTGCACCACTTTATAGGGTTTCAAATGTTTCTATAGTAGCACCAACACAGTTACTGAGTTTCATTAATGAAACGGGCACCGCACAATACCTGTTCCAATTCCTTATCCTAAATAAAATAAACATCTACCTAATGCTTATTTCATTAAACAGCAGAAGCCAACTTTCTGTCAAAGGCTTAATAAATTACATCAAAATTATGATTTAAATCACAAAATGTTGAAACAAAGTAGTAATAGAGCATTAATCTGAACAGGCATTCAATGCAAACTTTCTGTAACTGTCAGTTTTCAGTATAACGTACAGTATTTCGTTAGTTTGCTACCCATCCATACCTGTCTCTTGTGATAAATTTGCCATAACTACTAGATGGCAACGAAGACAACAACCATACTCATTAAAATACAGCATTTGTTCTGCTATTTTTCCCTTAAGGTTTATGTTTAATGTAAAACGTGTACTACATTTTTGCTGTTGCAGTGTTTCTGCTGGGTGGTTTGTATGCAGCACACTCTCAAATGCACCCCAAATGACAGGCACACAGAGAGGGCCTTCCAAGGAGATAGGACAGGGATGGTAAAAAACTTTATGGATTTTCTGACGGTCCGGCGGCCCGACAACGCAGCAGGATTGGTCCCGGTGCTCCCGATGGCCAGTACGACTATGAAGGGGTTTTGTTGTACCTGGGTGGAACACGGCGGGCCACTGATGCAAAATGTATATGGCATGAACACTGCATTAGCATAGGGGCCCTTTATCATCAGATGAGGAAAACCACCTCAGCTATAAACACACTGCTGCAAACTCTTAAGTCAAAATGCCAAACATTCTCCACTCTCTGTGCGTCAGATGTGAGGAAGTGTTGCCTTTTCTGTTTTATATCATTTTTAATTGAATAGTTTTGTGTGTTAGGCTTTTAGTAGGAGAAAACAAGCTATTTGAAGATGTAGCCTTGAGTTCTGGAAAACCACAATTGATTTTTCTTGATGTGGATAATGGCATGTTGCAGCCCACCTCTTTTCATTGTATTTTACTGTCATCAACCACTTTTCTTTTCCCCCTTCTTCTTTGTTTGGCTGCAGCAGATAAAACCAACCAGCCCCATTCAAAGAAGGAGTTTTATTTTTGGATAGTTGCCCAGCTGTCAGATTCATACCGCAGCACCGTCTCAGTTCAGTCCTGCTCAGTTCTGCAGGAGAGGGATCATCGTGTAAGTTGAAAATTTCATCCCAGCCCATCGGATTATGGATTTAGATCTGTCAGTTTGCTATAAATACAAATGTGATCTAATGTGCAGCGATGTCTTCAGTGGAACAACAGCAGAGGTTCAGAGTAAACCTTTGAGCCTAATCAATAGTTGATTAGTAAATGAGGAAGGTTCAGTGAGAATGAGGGGTGAGGGGTCGTGCTGTCCCAGAGCACATCATTAAACTGTGTAACACACTCTCCAACACACCATTAGTCCAACTCAGCCCATTACAGCAAGGCCACTGGACTTAGCTGAGAAAGCATCTTGACCTCACACACATGTTGGACTCTTTCCGACACACACACACACACACACACACACACACACACACACACACACACACACACACACACACACACACACACACACACACACACACACACACCACAACACCAAACACACACACAGGGAGTCAGACTAATAAATCGTAGCCCTGGGTCATCTGCTGTCTGCTGGGACCGGCAGCTGGCATTTATAATGCCATTTACTGTACACATCTTAGAAATTATAGCCTTTACCACGTTCATTCAACTTTCCATGAATCCCATAATGTATGTTTTAAAATACAAGACGACAATATGTCATGGTTAGACCAATACTTGTGGCCAATGTAATGAACATTTCAAGTCTTGACCCACTAGAGTTTCATCTTTGCTTTTCATTTAGTCAATTAATTGTTTAAAGATATATTTATCTATCTTGGTTTTTTATGTATCCTGGAATTTCCCAACCACTGGATAGCTGTGGGATGAGATCTTGTGTTTGAGAGCCACTATCCCTAAAATAATATCATTAGTGCGAGTCTGACTGTCAGTGTCACATGAGGGTTTAAATGCTATTTCAGAGGCTTTTCCATCCCGACAGAAATAAACCTCTGAGGGGGGAAAATGTTGTATTTAGAATTCCTGGCATGGAAATGATCAAATTTAAAGATCTTGAAGATAAAATTGGAATGAAACAAAATCCATCAGCAGCTTTACAAAGCCAGCATCAGTTGAGGTATATGTTGTGTGCCACAATGGAAAATGCCAACAGCAGCACGTCACACTCACGTACAACAGACAACGATGTGTTTAAGACATGACACAGGCCCAGCAGACTTAATTGCTTTATGACAGAACAAGTCCATAATCAAGCGAGCACGGCCTCCCCACTCCCGCCCCAGATAAAGAGGGGAGGTGGGGGAAAACTTTGATAACTACATCTGAAAGGATGAAAGACTCCTCTATAAATAGGATGTGGATCATCCAGGGGGGCTTTTGTTTTCAATTGGGATATTGAATCTTATCTGGCTGACATTTTGGAGACAGTATCCTGGTGACATTTAGGATATGTCGCAATTACAGCAACATCCTTTTCAGGTCCAACCAGCCAATTACAGATGTAATTTTTTCCTATCCTGTCAGGTAAACCTTTTCATGTCATGTCATAGGGCACGGCACCCGTGTGTGTTTGTGTGTGTGTGTGTGTGCGTGTGTGTGTGTGTGACTGTGTGTGTATGTATGACGCTCAGCCCAGTGAGTGTGTGTTTAGAAATAGCTTCAGTAGGGTCCCTGCATTCCAGCGGCTGTTCTAACATGTTGTAAATACAAGGTGTTAGAGAAAACATAAGAAGGGGGTGGTGGAAATCACTCAGACCTATTACAAGTGCTGCTAGAGGGGGGACACAGGATGTAGGTTATCATAGATAAACAACCCAGCTCACCTGCAATCAGTGCACGGGGCAGTGTGCTTGGTTATTTTAAACTGAACATAGGAATAAGATCTGCATCCACCAACATTGTTCTCATATCACAAGGATTTAGTTTTGTTTTAAGTCAACAAATAATATGCATGAGAGAGATTTTTTAGCAAACTTTTTACCATCTTATAAACCATGCAAGGGCACAAAATCCATCACATATTCTCTTTCATATAGATCATGTTTTATTCTCAGCTTCTAGGCATATAAGAGAAGCCATAGCTTAAAACAGCTTTAAAACTGATTTCAGGTTTTAATTCCCACATCAGCCGGGACTGATGGCAATCTGCGTCAAGGTGGAGATGTAACAGGACATGCAGGCACACACATGCACTCCTCACATTGTAGTACATGCAGCATAACCTTCACCTAACACTAAAAACCACGGACAAAACCTTCCATAAACCTATATAATCACAATCTACCAATGCACTACAACATAAAACACATATATATATATACCTCCAGCAGCACATATAGCTGACATACAGGATGAGTGGGGTGTATAGTGAAAGTACAGCTGCAAGACTACACAACACAATAAGCGTCACAACAACAAGTTAAATCAATGTAAAACTGGATGAAACTGCTGCAGATCCGAGAGCTCGGGAAACACCGGCTTCAACACTTGCACAAGCATGTTGTCAAAAAAAAAAAGATTTAAAAAAAAAAAGAAAGAAAGAAAGAATGAACACGCACATTCACACACATTTTCCACTAGACTTTCTATTTTAACCACCTAAATTGCGCTCTCTAATAAGAGGGAAACTTGGCTGCTGAGTTCAGATGTCTGAATGTGCGAGTCAAAACACCACAGAGCTGATAAGGAGGGAATTAAAAAAGAAAGAAAAAAAAGAAAAAAGAAAGAAACACATACTACTACCAAACACCGGCGGTGCAAAAAATACCTCCGTTCATCTCTTCCAAAACACCCTCCCATGCTAGTTTTAAGTCCACTCAGCGACGTTTTTAAACGGAGGTTTTCTTACCTGGAGTCTGGTTGAGCAGTAAAGTTACCAGGGCTCCCCACAGCACCGCGGCCAGCTGCATCTTGTACCCCCGCTTTTCTCTCGCTTCTCCGGGCTTCCCTTTTCCCTTTTTCCCCCTCTTCTTCTCCTCACAGTTAAATATCAACGGGCTTCTGTTACGAGAAGATGCTCCGGCTTTCACGCTAACTTCATACCATGACTGACTTTTTAGCCCCCTTTCTCTCCCCGGCCTCCTCCGCCTCCTCCTCTTGTGTGTGATAACGCGACAAAACCGGGATTAAAAAGTTAACTCTGAGGGGAACAGCTCGACTACGGTCTCCAACATGTTGTGCTCTAGTTACCGACGCTGTGGCTACCAAAAGGAGCTGTGGACTGTACCAAACACAAGCTAAAGGGGAGTACCCTGTGTATACGGCGGTATTTTTAAGCTATAATTAGCCTAAATTAGCAACAGTGGCGAATTGGTACTACACCTTCATTTAAAGAAATTACAAAACAATCTCTGAATATCCCCAGTTTGTAGTTTTTGTATGTATTATTTTCCCCCCATTTCAACATACACCCCTATCCCTCAAGAAATGGTCTCGTCCAAAATCTCTGCTCTGGTTGTGTCATTTCTCTTCAAGTTACAATGTCTTTTTAAAAGGGGGCTGGTGGTCAGCAAATCAAAGACAAGGTCAGACAGCTTATAAACTGTTTGTGCCTTTTTCCTCACAACACGGAAAAAAGTTGTTTTTTTTGTTGTTTTTTTCCCCCTGCCTCTGTTTCTTACACAATGTGGGTTAAAGAAGAGTAGAAGAAGAAGAGTGGAAAAGCCTCTCTTTGTCACTTATGTCACTGGAGGCAAATGACAGGGCAGTGGTTTCCACAGTGCGGTGTAATGAGATGAGGTTATTACACAGCCATTATTCAGTACCAAAGTTTTACGAAAAGTTACCGGAGGGATATCATGGTTGTATTAAAATGCAATTAATTTCAAAAAGGTCACCATGGACACATGCAAGTCTTGTCTTCGAAATTACAAGAAGTTCCCATAGGGATTATATAAGTACACCACAAGTTTATACATGCAGTTTAGTCCAAAAAGTCAATATAAAGTCATTATTTACTATGATACACATGGTGCAAAATCCTTTAGGAATATGATTTTAAGCACAATTAAGTCAAGACACACAGCAAGCACCTACAGGAGTATTATACTGATACCAGTTAAAAAAAATGAGCATTATGTCATATATATTCACAATGATCTCACTATTAGGGATCACAGACATATCAGCAGTTCCAGTATGGATGCTGTAATACCCAAACAACAAATACAGCATATTTTAAATCTCATAAATTATAGACTAAGTAAGACATTATGTACAGTACACCATAAGTTCCTATAGGTATGTTAGTGTGATGGTATAAGAGACTAAAAGAATAGATAGATAGATAGATAGATAGATAGAATATGGTAAAATCTATTATGGGACTGTTATAGTGAACTAATAGAGTTATAATATTGTAATCAAATTTTTTAGTGTCCCACCTAATTTTTTCGTCCTTCTAAATGACTGAATGAGTAGCATGTGCACTGCTCCACATGTCTACATATTCATGTTTCTCCTCTATCCCTGGAAGGGAGGCTTTAGACCTCCCTCTCTAATTGAGGCAGCTTTAGTTGGGATGCAAGCTCCCGCGTCTCTAAACAGAACATCATCATTCAGCACACGCCTCCCCTCCCACTCTCCTGTGGAGCATCCATCAGAGTATTACATTTCATCCCAATAAAAGTCGTCTGCACCGTCACTTATTCATGATTTGATACAGAGCATATTAATGAACAATGCTTTGGAGAAAGAGCCGTAATAGTCCTATGACAAATCCTAAAGACACTGAACGTATTCCTAAATGTAAGATCCAATAAGGGGGGTAATAAATGAGGCAGAAATGCTATTAAGCACAGTTCAATAATACATTATAACCTTCTAAACTCTAAGGATCAACAAGGGTGGGATTTACTCATTACAAATGACCTTAGACACCGTATAAGCCCCTATCAGAATACTTTATGACTACGATACATAAAAGAATAAAATACCCCTATTTAATACATGTCCCAGAGTTAACTTCTGAAGACAAGATCATGTGTTGTATCTGTTTACAGCTCAGCCAGACAAAACATGGCCTGAGATCGCATCACAATGTATTAATAAAACAGCCAACAATGTCATCCAACAGGCAATTACAGAGTGTAAATACCTTAAACGAATGTTTTTTAAAAAATACGGCCAACTCCAAAGTACATTTTTTGATCAGGAGTTTTGAAATACTCCCACAAAACTCTCCTTTTCACTCTGTACTCAAATAATTCCTCACTTTTTGTGTGTGTGACTGAAAAAAACACCATGCATGTATCTGAGTAGGGAGTACAATTTGCTCTTGGGTAGAGACTGAGGGGCCACTGGCCATTAACAACATGTATAAACACTTCTGCTTTTAGATGCGGTGGGACGACCCTTTGTATGAACTGGTGCTTTGGAAGCATACTGAGGTGTTACGCAATCACACACCACATATAACTCACTTTAGTTATATTATACGGGCGCTGTAACAGTCACAGAGACCATTACGATGCACTTTTAAATATATGCACATCAGAGCCAACAGAGCCCAAACCTGTGTTTTTAAGAGAATGGGGAGTGACAATAAAGACAAGATGAGTTTTACATATTTCCCCTCGGTGCAGTCCCACTGCCGAATGCAGTGACTGAGCGGTGAGCTGATCCAGGATCAGGACCCGGACCAGTGTGGGCGGCCAGCCGGCCCGCCAGCAGCGTGAACGGAGAGCAGCTGTGGCCCCTTTCAGCTCCCATCCTGTCTCTGAGAGAAGAGATGGAGACATTTAATTATAACCTGTGATTAATGTGTCCGCAGTGGGCCAGGAGTCTGTCTCTGCAGCACCAAGGGCTTTCGTTCAGGTTCCAGACAGTCTGACACACACAGACACACACACACACACACATACGCATAAACACACACACACAGACTGAGAATGACTTTATGTGTTCTGGTACACACTGTTTCAACAATCATAATGAAGAACCTTATCACTTAGAGGTGCCAAAAAGTCGCACCAGTTCTCTTCTGACTTTTATATTCTCTGTCTCTTTCTAAGACACCACCAGTATCTGACACCTTTTGGCCAGTGCAACATATGGCTGTCAGAGTAAGTGTGTGTGTGTGTATGTGTGTGTGTGTGTATGTGTGTGTGTTGCTAGGAGAACAGCTGTGGGCTTATCACGTTAGGTTCCGCTGATAAATAAATAGAAGTGCGCTGGGGGATGAGGAGGCCTGCCACAGATGGAAAATCAGACAGGTGTTGGAATTTTTCCTATGTGCAGTCATGTTTGCATATATGTGAGCATGTGTGTGTATATGACACAGATGTGACCTTCCCTCTCCACCACTTGCCTGTATGAACATTCCTCTCTGAGATTAACACAGGAGCTGATTAATTTCCTGAGCATCTTGCTTTCTCACACATTAATGGACATTTATAGCTCTGTGGTAACTTGAAGCAGGAGTCACATGTTTGCGTGAAATAGATCCCGAGTTATGCCATAGTGTCACCAGTTTTATGGGACCATACCAGAAGGTTTTGCATGGTTTTGCCCATTAACTACAAATAGTTTTTACAAACATTGTCTTCACTACATTATCCTGGGCCAAGTTTGTGGACTGACTTCTTACATTTCATTTGTTTCAGTTTGTTTCAGCGCGTTGTGAAAGCGAATCTGCAGCAACTTGAAACTTGCAACTTAAAACTTTTTTTTGTTGTTGTTGCAAAAGTTACATTATCTTTGTGTAATAACCCAGTTGTTAGAAGATACTCAAAGGGACTAAAGCTGAAAACCACAGTGTTGCATCACGTCACCTCATATGACATGTGTCAAGTGCTGCCCCCTAGCACCAATGTGAAGTATCGCGCTGCGGCTCGCCAACAGGACCAGGACCACACAGAGACAGCAAGAGATGAGGAGATGGAAGTCGAGCTGCTATGGGAGCTGGAAAGTACAAAACAGCCTTTTCTCTTTCTTTTTTTTTTTCCAGGGGCAGCGAGGTTGGAAATAAGACAGTGGCGTGAAGTGTTGCGGGGCGCACGCCTTAGCCACCGCCAGTGTGTGTGTGTGTGTGTGTGTGTGTGGGGGGGGTCATGTGCATTCAAAATAATAGGGACGGCTGTTTGTCAGCTATTGCCATTGTGTTTTGGCCTTAAGTTGCATTCTGAAGTCACTGCAAGCTGTCTGGAGACTAAACCTAGTAGATGAAATTTTGTCGTCAGGACATCAGGAATAAAGATGGTGCAAATATGACTGTTACAATAAAACTAAAATGCAATTCAGCACGTGATTCTTGACACTCTACTGTGGCATGCTCATTAAACACCCCTATAAAGAGAGTCCCGTCCAAACTACATCAATGCAACTGCATTAATGTGACATCCATCGTCATCAAGGTTAAAATATATTAAACACACAGTTGTGGTTGTGGTCGTTGATAAAACAAACAATGATAACCATTGGTTTCACATGGGAAATGAACAGCAGTCTCATGTGAGAAAGTCCTGTGTTTTATTGACCCATCCATCCACCCCATCCCCCTCCTGACGTGGACTTTGTCGCTCTATATACTGTCACCTAACTTCCTTATTTGCTCACATCATATAACAGTGGCTGCTAGAGTTCGCTCAACAATAAAACTAGGCTGTGGATAATAATAACCTGCTTGCACAGTCGACCTATGTTGTCTGAAATCTTTACAAATCTTTTTTAAACCTTTTTAAATTTGAAAATTTCCAACTTTGGCGCTCCCCTGTACAGTGTAAAAAAAAAAGACAATCTGCCAGACAGCAATTATAGAGAACAGAGATCTTAATTAATGTTTTTATTATATTAACAATTAAACATTTAATTAGTAACTGATAATTTAGCATTATTAATTACGAATTTTTCAGTGTGTCAAATGATCATGTGTGATGTGAAAGGAGTCGCTGACAGTGATAAACCCACCGAGGATTACCACCAACTCTGCAGCTTTTG